AATAATGATGTAAATCACCTGATATGCAAATACAACGTATGGTGATGATACAAGTGGACCTCACCAGATGGAATACACAGGAATCAAACTGGAGAGCCAATGGAGAAGCTCAGTATCAACAGCCAAAACTAGGCCAAGGACTGACTGTGGAACCTTCAATTGTTCATATGCAAGTTCAGGCTGAAGCTGAAGAAAATTAAAACTGAGACCATGTCAGTACGTCAAACTGACAACAGATGAGCCACTGGGTGGGTTCAAGCCACCAACTTGTTAATAACTGAGCACTTAACCTGTTGTATCAGCATTCCTTCGCAATAACCCAAGTTGCTTTAAAAATACAGATATCTGGGACCCATCCCAAACAACCTAAACATTAGAAGATTTCAAAAGCTTCTTAGAAGCTTTTAGTTTGAATCAAAGGTGAGTGTCACTGAACTAGGGATCTTTATATATCTAGGTAGTAATCACATCTGATCTTGTGACTATCCAATTTAAAGTCCTTCTGTGGTTTCTGGCTGTTCTTAAGAGTGAATTTAAACATTTCGTTAGTTTATGAAGTACTTGAAGAACTGATCCTAGACTACCACTTTCACCTAAGCCTCACCAAAGAGGCCTCTTCACACCTGTGCATTGAGCTATGCTAAAATTCTTTTGTTCCTTAGGAGGCATGTTGTTGTTAAGTGCCTTTGAGTTGGTTCCAACTCTTAGCAAGTCTATATAGGGTTTCCAGGGAGCAGCTTGTGGTTCAGAGTCTAGTGCTGACCCTACAGCACCACACCAGAGGTCATAGCACTCTTTATCTCTTGGTTTTTGTACAGCTCCCTGGTCTGTCTAGATTCTCTTTCTCCTCCTGCTAGCTAACTCCAGTTTGTCCTACAGGTCTTAGTCTAAGTTTCTCTTATAAGGCCATTTTCCTGAACTCCTGGTGTGGCTCCCTAGAATAAGCAAGATTGGTTGGAGCATCAAGGTTGACAGTTCAAACTTACCAGCCACTCTGGTAAACCCTATACAGGGTCACAGTGAGTGGAACTGATTCCACAGTGCTTAACCACAACCACCACCAGTTAACACCTTAATACACTCAGCTTCATTATCATAACATTTACGTTACTTAATTGTTCCTCCTTAGTGGCTCTTCCCTCTCTCTACCATAGCCAACTAGACTCTAAACTGGTTCACTGTAGTTGGTATCCATTAAATATTTGTTGAAAGAAAAATTGTATTTAGGCTGTAGTTGGTATCCATTAAATATTTGTTGAAAGAAAAAATGAAGACATATGTTGTTTTGTTTTTGTTTATTTCCTGGAGATAAACAAACATTCTTCTGCTCACATATTTGTGGTATTTCTAATTATGTCTATGAAACAAAGTTCTAGAAGTGAGATTATTGTTTAAGGATATACAGTAGAACTGAAGTTAAGAATAGGGGTTATTCATCATTGTACCACAGGAGACCTATCCCCATCTCCTTTCATCAGCCCCACCCAGACAGATTGTATACTACTCAGTGGAGATTCTACCTTCCTCTGCACCCTCTGGCTCTAGGCTCCCTCTTGAAAGCTTGTAGGCTAGTCACTTCTTGCCTTTGTAGCCCCCTCCCATTTTGGATTTTCAGTGACTAAATGTTCGGAAGTTTGTCACTCCTTCTTCCTAGTCTGTCTTCGTTGGAAGCTCATCTGAAACCTATCCACCACGGGTGACCCTCCTGGTATTTAAAATACCAGTGGCATAACTTTCAGAATCACAGCAACTCACAAGCCACCATAGTACAACAAACTGACAGACGAGCATATGATCAAGAGCCAGTGAAACTGAAGGAAGAAATCCAAGATGCATTGAAGGAATTGGCAAAGAACAAGGCACCAGGAATTGATGGAATAAAAATTGAAATCTTTCAAGAAAGTGAGGCGGCACAGGAGGTGCTCACTTATCTCTGCCAAGAAATTTGGAAGACAACTATCTGGTTGAGTGATTGGAAGAGATCCATATTTGGATCTGATGAAATTCAAAGAGCACAGCCTTTCGGTATGGATTACATCTCAATGTAAAGAAAACAAAAATCCTCGCCTCTGGACCAATAAACAGCATTCTTATCAATGGAGAAAAGATGAAGTTGTCAAGGACTTCATTTTTCTTGGATCAACTATCAACACTCATGGAAGCAGCAGTCAAGAGATCAGATGACGTATTGCATTAGGCAAATCTGCTGCACAAGACCTTTTTAAAGTGTT